GATATTTGATTTTACGTATACTGTCATACATATGAATGTTTTTAAATACGCCATCATATATATGAATATTGACATAGCAATAGCATAGCCATGGTTCACATAAACACACTGTGCCCAATCGCTAATCACCTGCACTCGTTTGTTATATAGGGCTAGCCCACGGTTTCTACTCGACGTCGGCCGTCATCGCAGCCATTCTCGTGGGATACGGAATCTCCCTCGACGGAAAGTACCTCAAGTGGATGCGTTTAGGCACGTGCATCTTCACACTGGGGCAAGGTCTATCAGCCCTGGTTGACCGTGATACTTCGTACGCCTTCCTGTCCCTTACGAACGCTTTGCTTGGCTTTGGCGGAGGTATGATCACCTGTCCCGCTTTAGTAGCGGTACAGGGGGCGTCGCTGACTCATCATGTGGCCACAGCTACCGCCCTATTCGGGTTTTTCAAGTACTTTGGGAGTGCTCTCGGTATTGCTGGGTCGTCGGTGCTGTGGAGAAAACTTATAGAGAACGAGGTACTGTCACACTCAAGCTTGTTCTCTGAACATATCGACGTTGAAAAGGTGGTCAAGAACATACAGTACATTAAGCACATGCCACACACTGACCGGGAGTTGGTCGTGGATATCTACGAGCATGCGTGGAGAGTTTCGATGATGGTTAGTACGTTGGCTATGTGCGTGGTATTGTTTGCGGGTGTGCGCATGCAAGAGTTAGAGATGGACACGGATCTGCAGCACTTCGATAGGTACCGCACTTTCTCAGATAGCTCGCGCAGCACGGTGGGAAGTGAGGTGAATGCGCACGTGTACGCGGAAGACGCGGCAAGTAATGTGGAAACGAAGCGACTGATATCGCACGAGGGCTCGGGAATTAGACAGGGGAAATAGGCACGGAAACCTAAGAGCCGACTTATAGAGCTTGCTTTACGTGAAATATGCGATACGCTTGCTTACGCTCACAACACACACAACTCTGACACTGAGTCAGGGCCTAAATGGTTCATAGTGGAGAATGAATGCCACATATTTCAATCACAAGCCCAGGTCAGCGCCTCTATAGTACTAGAGCTTTCTGAGGACATGGTTTAAGGCGTGGGGAATACTACTGCACGCGCTTGCACACACTATTTGTGCATGTGTACCATACACACACACCTACACAAGGCTCCATACGCCACGCACTGGGCGAGCCTAGTCTTGCGTAGACTTCTGACGAATTGCTTTTGTGTCTCCATGTAGACACATTATGCTCTTCGGATAATATATATATATATATCATATAATATATATATATATATACATCATAATATATATATATATATATATATATTTTTATTATATTATATTATATTATATTATATATATCGCAATGTCCGCACTTTCATAGTATGCAGACAAACTCAGGCATGATTGGGATGTGATACCCGGATGGAGGCACGCTCAAGAATTACAGTGTTAAATTACGTTATAATATATGAACACAATCGGATCCGCCTAGGCAGTGCACTAGCGTATACCGGCAGGCTGTCTATACCACTCAAGACAGGACCTCAAAAATATATATAGGAGTGAATGTTTCAAAGCATCACACAGCTCACCGTAGGTAGGGTGAGGTAACGAGAAACAGACACCAGCGTGTGTTGTACTCTAACTTAGTAATAAAATAGTTATCATACAATGAGACCCCAAATATCAGGCATACCGGCAAATACTCACTGGTTGGTACAAGAGCGTATATCTAGTTCCTTTTTCCATCACAAAATTTTTGACAGAATCAGGTCAAAATTTTAACCATCCTTTGTGTATATTTCTGTATCTAGGTAGGGCTCGCTGCAGGTGTAAGACTGATTATTTGCCAATGTACCAATGTATTGTACCGTATTAAATTTATTACATTCCGAGTTTAAATGCTAAGTGTCTTACTGCATTAACTATGACTGTGCAGCTTAGATTTTTCATAGCTGAACACGCCGCATATCATCTGACTGGAAGATCCCCACCAAGGCGGCAGGGACAAGACTTTTCTTCAATATGTAAAATGTTATGTTGTTATGTATATATGTATGTAAATAAATATAGATTCCGATCAAACATTCGATATTAATACTACAGGGGAAATATTGCCGGCTGTTGACTTCGCTCAATGCCTCAATCCCATAGCTATGACTGATTTCAGCGGTAAAGGCGTATTTTCTTCGTTTCGTAATTTCTTCGTTTGCTAATTCATTGCAGCGTACCTCCAGATACCCTGTACATGTAGCAAAGACCTACTCACAGCACCCTAGTCCCAACACCAATCCACTCGTATGTTCCTGCCGTAGGCCACTACAATATGTATCAGACTGATGTCGGACTTGGGTCTTTGGGTTTTAGGGTTTGATGATCTCTTTGCCTGAACGACAGTACGACACATTGCTTTTTCATAGCCTTCTATTAAAAAAATTGAACCATTTTTTAGTATTACTCATTCAGTACGCTAAAAATAAATATCATTTATATTACATTTTGGTTGGTAGCTGTCCATACCAAATCACATTTCAAAAGCCATGATGTGCTTTTTTGTTCACAGTCGTACGGGAGCGTGTGGAACATTCACTGGAAGTCTGGAACTGTGGTCAACTGGGCGCTGGACTGTGATGTTAGGTCACTCTGTGTACATGGACACGCGCGATCGCGGGTACGACTACAGTTTCACAACGCGGAAGTTCGAAGTTCAGTGTAGGACCTGTGCATGTATTTTGGAATCAATGTAGTGTGTATATATCACTACATCATTAGCGTTTAATTCTAAATATATTACCAAGTTCATACCATAGGATTCATACATGTACGTGCGTGATGAATCACGCCGGCGCAAAATTTGTAGTACCTTGCCCTGTTGCCCAAATTTTAAACGCATGTATGCATAAAAGCTGACCAGCAATAGTTGTCTGGTAGTTGAGATACACTCTTCTTCTTTGCTTACGCACCGAGTGCCCGAGTTGCGATGTCTTCTTTTGCGGAGCAGCTACAGGCCACTAAGCGCAACAAAGCAACCACAGCGAATGGGGGCTACCCTGCCACATTCTCGAGTGAAGATGTGAGGGATATAACTAATGAACTCTCACATATGTACAGCAAAGATAGTGCATATGAAACTAAAGAGAGTGTACACATAGCAAACAGCGGTGCCTTTCACTCATCCAATGATGGGCATGACGGTCATGCGCCGCATCCAACTACTAAAGCAGACAGCGGGTTGTCAAATTCAAGCGTGGATAGACAGGAAAGAATAGAGTCAACACGATCACAAAACAGCCAGAATGAAGACCTGACACGAGAAGATAGCCGTGTCAAATTGCGTAGTAAAGTTAGCAATATACAAAATCCAGTACGGAATACGGCATCTGGCTTTAAGGATCACTATAGGAATAGAGAATCCCTGACGATGGCTTCGAATATATACGCCTCCAAGTATGTTGTAATTCGGAGCGGATAAGCTAGGTTTGCAGCCTTTCAATATATATATATATATACACACACACACACACGTGGGACCTCTAGAGT